ATTTGGTGGCTTGTGGTGACTGATTGTGACAGAGACCTGGGTCAAAAAGAGTTTGAATTTCCAGGGTGGCTGGAGGGTATTATATTATGCAAGAGTAGAATCAGATAACTGGTTATAAAACCATTCATGAAGTAAATTATACCAGTGAATATATTGTGAAATTTTACTTCAATATTGGAGAAGTTATAAATAGATAAACTCATTTTTTTCCATAATTGATCTTATCTTTCTCCTGAGTCCTCAGCAGAAATATTAATTAGTTAAATGTCAAACCCAGTTTAATCTTAGTCTGAACTGGTAATCTTTAAGTAGTCCCTTTAGGAAATATCCAGTCTCACCTTTGGATAAAAATATTTAGCTTCTCAGAGAGTTATGCACTTCTGTTTCCATTCTTCATCTGCATCCAAGTGTATGAAGGAGGAAACCTCGTATGTATTCCTGGTTGAAGGGTAAAGTGTCATTTTGGAATTGATACCCTTCTTTCTCTGGCTTTAATACAGTGTTTTGAAAACCTTGGTGCTGCTTGAGACCTGCTGGCATTGGCAGATGATATCTGCTATTGGAATAGTTAATTAATTTATAACTCTTGGCTTGACTAGACCATACCAAGACAGTCTCAGTAAGTTTGACCAAAGTTTAGACAGGCTTTTTTCTGCTCTAGACCCCTGAAGTTCCTTTTTCATAGAGCACTTACTTTAGAAAATTTGTGATTGTAAACTCTCTCTGCCCCGTGAGTTACACATCTTTGTAAAACTTCCTGCCACTTTTATAACTCAAGAATATCTTTCTCAAGGACTAGGGAGCTATCCCTTTGAAATATAATAATCAAGAATACCATTCCTATCTTCCAGTCTCTGAGGGAAAGTAAGGGCCTAACCTCCACAGGTGCTTTGCTCCAAGTTCTAAAACAATGTCTTATCAAGAAGATACAAAAAAATTTATTTTTCCTTTGGATACAATGCATTAGCAAACACTGATGTCCTTAAATCCCTCCACCTCAGCTCTTAAAACCTCTCCAGTCCTTTGTTTTAACAAAATTGAGCTCAGAATGAGTTCTGGCCTCTCTCCCATGTTGCAATGGCTTTGAATAATGTCTTCCTTGCCTGTTTACTTTTGTCTAGTAGAATTTTTACTTTGACAGTAGTACTTGCTGCATGACCAAGCCTCATCTATGCATCTCCTGGCTCTGGAATTTTCTTTTCCCACATCTCTGTAAAGACTGCTTGTTCAGTGGTTCTTCTTCAGACGGTGCTGTGAGGCCAGAGTGGTTATCTCTAAATTTCCTCTTCATTTACAGACATTATGGGGGTCTCTTAGCTACTAACCCAGGAGCAGTGTTATTTGTTGTTTAAGCTCATGCAACTAAACCTCAGAGATGCTGGACATAACCACACAATGAAGCCTAGTTTACTTTGATATGGCAGCTCCCCTGATTGGACATGTCAAGTTCTTTTCTCAATAACACCACTAAACTATTGGATATTTTTTATCTTGAAATCATTTCAGAAGGGAGGTATCAGATGAGTGCATGTCATCTCTGTGATCTCTTTACCCCTTTCTTTCCTCAGGTCATAATATCTTGGACTAAAAAATGTGGAGGGAATATCTCTAATTTTCCCATTAAAGTTTCCCCTGCCTCAAGTCAGCTAAGCATTAATGGTAGGTAATGATCTCTGTATCTCTGTGCACATGGCAGACAAAATCCCATGATCTAATACTTCCATCTTGGTTTTGAGTTTTCAAAGGAGAAATCAATGAATAATTATGTCAATAAACTGATATATAAAGCTATCATCCTGCTTCAAGATTTAATTTATCATGTTTTTTTCTATTATAAATTATGTCACTGCCATACCCATATGTATGTATAGACAGATGAAGAATGAAGATAACTCCCATTTATTAATCAGTTACGATATATCAAGCACTAGTCTAAGTGTCTTACATGTGCTGACATAAGTTACTATGAACCCTATTTACAGGTGAAGAGACTGAGGCATATAAAGATATCAATAGTCATACAACTTGCATGTGGGGGAGTCAGCCTTTGAATCCCAACAATCTCAATGAAGTTTTTGTTTTTAACCACTATAGTGTTCTTTAGGGTAAAGTAATTTATTCTTTGGATTAAAAAGAGTAAAATACATTATGACTTTAAAAACATTTCCTCACACAGATACACACTTTGTTTCTAGCAGAGTGTTCCCACATCTACTTTGTTAGTGGAAAATAGATTCAACAATTACATATTTGTTTCATATACCATAGCTTGAGCTACCCTAAATTCATGTCTGTCTTATTCTGTATCAACTAACAGCAAGTCTGACATAAAGCAGATGCTGAACACATGATTTTAGATGAATCCTTGAATAATCTTCTGAATAAGAATTATATATTTAAAATATGGAATATTCTGTTTGTGAATTTAAAAATAGATAATCCACCTGATCATTTACTTCTAATTATAATAGAATTTATGCACAAAGTGCAAAAAGTGATTTATTACTCTTAAGATCATTAGAAATTAAGAAAGTGGCTGGATTTAAATTTAAAGTATAAGATCAATGTATTCCATTTAACAGTTACACTTCTCAAATTTCTTAATTGCAGCATTCCTAGACCCAATCCTAGCTGTATTTACCTCTGTTACATTATCTCTTGAAAGGCTTGATAATCAAGCTTGGAAGACATGAACCCAGGGCAATGAAATGCCCTAAGAGCGCATACTGCTTACACTGCTGGGCACTGACTCTACATTTTTTACTGTGTATGCTGGGGACTAGATTACAGACCCAAAGCTGAATTCCTTGGCCTCCAGCTTTGGCAGAAGTGTGTGCCCATAGTGCCTACATTCTCATGTTGCTCTTCTTAAGCTCAAGCCTCAGGCTGGAACATCTAATCTTAGAACTCAGGTCCTATTCCTGTATTCCAGCTATGAGGTATACACGGAAGGTGAGTTTCTGTTTTCTGCCTTGGACATAGTAATAATAATATGGGAATTCCTACAATGCATGATGTTGTTCAAAGATGTTCAATATCTGCAGTGCATGTTTCACATGAATAGAAAGTGAGTCAGGTTTATAGTAGCCACACAAATATAAAATCATAGAACAATTCTATTGAGGAATGTGTATTACCTTCATAAAGAGAATTAGCAAAATTTTCTTTAGTGTGAATAACAAAACTTTTAGTATTTTTTGGTAAATTGAAACCACACAATAAAACACATTTCCCAAGTTCGTTTATAAATTTTGAATAACTGAATGATGTCAAGGACAAGCACAATATTTATTAAAATGAAGATATTCAAAATAAGAATGCAAGCATAATGTAGGGGGGGCACAGGGAGGGCTGTACAACACAGGGCGGACAAGTAGTGATTCTATAGCATCTTCCTACGCTGATGGACAGTGACTACAATGGGGTATGTGGGGGGAACTTGGTGATGGGGAAAGTCTAGTAAGCATAATGTTGCTCATGTAATTGTAGATTAAAGATACCAAAAAAAAAAAAAGGACGGAAGGCAATTAAAGTAGAGATCAAAGACTGCGTTCTGCTACTCAAATCATTACACCAGACAATAATATAATATTACTTAACATAAATGCATAAATGCAGATTAATAAAACATTTGAAATAGAAACAGTTAAAAATTGATTTGCTTTTGTAATTTAGCAGGGTCATTAAAAATAAGTTGTGAAATATTTCATAAATTGTGTTAACATATTTCATTGATGTACAAGTTAAGAAGAAAAAACATAATTTACACATTATTGCAGATGGAATGAGTAGTCTAATAAGAAAAAAGATATTATTAATAGTCATTTGAGGTTATTCTTGTTAGGTTAGATTGCTTAAGCTTGTTATTCCAATATTTAAAAATTCATATTAACTTATTAATTATAAGATATATGCAGGAAAAAAAGACCTGAAAAATGGAATTAAAGTGAGACTGAGAAAATGCTTTTGCCATTATAAAAAATGATAACACAGAATTCTAAAATGTATAAGACTTTTTACACAATTGATATAGCATAAATATATCTAAAATTCAAATGAATAATATGAAAGAGAAAGAAATATTATAAACATGCTGAATCTTTTGATCTATTTTAATTAAAAATAATTAAAAGTTAATATAAAACTGAGAAACTTAAAGAGCCTGCCACACAATATCCAGTGCTGTGCTGTATTTATCTTAAGTACTTTGGTGTTTCAGGCACCTGGTATGATTTCAACCACCTAATGGGATCTGTATGAATCTTTCTACATGAATTCATAAACTCATGTGAGACATGTAGAGAAATGACATGACCACATATTACTAACAGCCACATAAAATGACTTCATATTTCTGGTAAGCAATATGGTCATATATTCAAGACAGTTGAACATATTATACACTTTAATTAATCCCAGTCCTTGGAATTATGAAGGGCAGAACTTCAGTTTTTAGCATTATTTATCAGAGTGAAAAATTGGAAATTACTTGTACATAAAAAATACATCAATGGTTAAATGTATCATTATATGAATTGCATGAATATTATGCACTCAAAAAATTATAATCACAGAACTACATAATGTTATTTATATATGCACCAATATGTAAAATTATATATATAAAGATAAAAATTAAAATGAACATTTGAAATTAAATTTTTGTGAGCAAAATTGTGGGGAAAATTGTCACATTTTATTCCTGTCATTGCAGTATTGCCTATTGTAGAGTCTTTTTAAATGGTGTGCTATTTGTGTGTTCATATACGTATATGTGTCTATATTTATATTGGGAGGGAAAGGAAAGTAGTGGGTCCATATTAAAAAGTTACAATTGTTTATTTTTTCTTAATCTGAAGGAACAAATAGAAGGTTTCACTGATAAAATTGGTGAAGAAATCAGATGAAGGATTTCAATATGACAACTGTTATATTATGTGGTTTATCTACAGGAAAAAGTAATTACTTTCCCTCAGCATTACAATTTGAAGGCATTTCAATTATTTTAAAAAGTTCCTTGTGTATAATATTGGACAGCCATCAACAACAGGGCAAAAACGTTTTTTCCTGATGAATTCTTCACCCAACAGTAACTTTCCTAAAGCTCTATTCATGGCCTCATTCCTCGAGCTGTAAATAATAGGGTTGAGTGTTGGAGGCACTACTGTATAAAAGATAGATATCATAAGGTCAAAAGCACTTGGAGAATCTGAAGTTGGTTTTAGAAACTCAAAAATTCCTGTGGAGAGAAAAAATGACACAACAAAGAGATGAGGCATGCAGGTGGAGAAGGCTTTGGAGCGGCCCTCAGCAGAGGGTATTTTTAGAACTGTGGAAAAGATGTGGACATAGGAGAGGACAATGGAAAGGAAACAGATGAATGCCATCACAGACATGAAAGAAGCCACTCCAACCACTCCAACATAATCATTGGAGCAGGAGAGCTTCAGCAACTGAGGGACATCACAGAAGAACTGGTGGATGATTTTGGCCCTACAGAATGTGATAGAAAATGTGGCAGTTGTGTACAAGACTCCAGAGATGCTTCCACTTAGCCAAACAGCCATCACAGCCCACTTACAGGTTCCTGGACCCATGGTGACCTCATAGTGCAGTGGGAGGCAAATGGCCACATAGCGGTCATAAGACATCACTGTGAGAATGGCCACCTCAGCCCAGGCCAAAGATGTGAAGAAGAAAACCTGAAGTATGCACTGACTGTGGGAAATATAGCCATTGTCCATCAGAGAATTGTCAATGGACTGAGGCACCGTGACAGAAATGAAGGTGATGTCCAGAAGGGAAATGTGTTTCAAAAAGTAATACATGGGGGATTGGAGATGTTGGTCCAGCGTTGTGATAGTGATAATTATGAGGTTACCTGCCAAGGCTAATAGGTACATCATCAAGAAAAGCAATGCATGTAAGATCTGCAGCTCATGATTATCAGAAAATCCCATGAGGAGGAACCCACTCATTGTGGTTCCATTTTCCATAGCCAATTTGAAGATACAAATTGTGCTGGCAGCTGGAAGATGAAGAGAATAAAGGAAATGCAGTAGAGAGATATTAAAATATTCATTTATCCATCACTGCTTCATTCAGCAAATGGTTTTTAAATACCTTTTGTTTATCAGCTGTGCCTGGATGCTGGGGATCTAAACATGAAGACATGTATTTCTTGTATTCATGGATCTCGCAGTCAACACTATTAAATCAGTAGGTATAGATGAGTGCAGATGTGGTTAGCGTCACTGGTCCCGTCACAGGAAAATGGTTGCATTTGCACCACCAAAAGCACCGTTCCATATCCACAGGAAAAACCCATTGCTTCACTTATAGTCAACAACAGATAATCAGTGATCAGCTTTTTATTAGAAGTTTCAAAAACTGGACTGGTTTCATTTGTGTATTGTGTATTGCTCTATTTTAGGAGATAAAATTGCCCTTGAAAGGAAACATGGTTTTGGGAATTTAAACACAAGCTAGATTTTTGGATGGTGTGATAATTTTTTCCTGGAAGAAATTTTTATTTTAGTGACAGCCCTGTAATTGTGGAGCCAAAGGCCAAATTATGCAGTGTTATTGCCCTTCCAAGGAATATTTTAGTTAATGGTATCTCATTGAAATCAAGAGCAAAACATCATTTGCAAAAGAAATGCTTTTACTTCACTGTCAGATTTAGTGTTTAATATGATTGCATGAAGCCTCTTCTGGTATCTAACAGTTTTCTCTTTGTCTCTTCATTGCATTTAACTTCCCTTCACATTGACTTCAATTAAAGTCATTAAATTCATTGACTGTTTATTACCAGTAAAGGCACTTGTAAAAAGAGGAATATGTAGTGACTGCTCTGAAGTCGTTTTAAATGTGGGGGGAAAACATTCAAATACTCAATATACAGCTTCAGAAAGAGAATCTGAAAAGGTATGAAGTGATCTACATTTCAGAGAAGGAATACATCATGTTTGAGTTCTTTGTCCAGTGTTTTAGGCTAGATGAGGGGGAATAACTGTCAGTAAATATGCATCAGTATATGAGGGTTGATGAGTCACTCAGTAGTCTCTCATTTTCCTGCATTTCTCCCTTCATCTGTGAGTTCCAAGCAGCAACTGGAAAAACTGCTGTATGAGACAGTCAGTCCCTTAGGACTTTTTTTCTAAACCATGTGAAATCTTACCGGATAACTTTTTTTTGTGTCTCACTAATGCCCATTCCTAGAAATGGCATCTGGAAGAGCCAAAAGTTTAAATCAACAACTCCTCCCCATTTCTTAACAACCTGGGAGGACTTTGTTAGTTCAATACTGACATGCATTCACTTACTTTTTCTGCTCTTTAATGTCAGTCTGTGTTGACGGTTCAGATTTCCTCTTCCACTCATGGCTCTTCTGTGAAGAATAAGCTTGGCATTTGGGTACTCTTTTTCTACACTCTGCTGCCTGACAAGGGGTCAGCAGTTTTAGATTTACAATAAACATGCATATTACATTTAAAAATTTAAGCTCTGTTCTGCTACCAAATTTTAAAGCTTTTTTCTCTTGCCCTGTGAATATGAATCAAAATATCAATCTATCTAGAATATCCCAAACTTTATTGATTTCCAACAGAATCCCACATTACAGAAAACAAGAAGAATTAGAGCAAGTATATGCTTCCAACATAATTTCTGTTTTTCTCTGTCTTGTTTTGCTCCTTTTCCCTATCTTATTTTCTTGCTTCTTTTTCCTTCTTTCAACTGATAAAACTATAAACCACAATGCTGCCCATACTAATGTTGAATTTTTTAACCTGCCAAATTTACACAATTAATTATCAACAAACTAGGAAGTCAAAAAAATAACACTTATGAGCATTCATTTTCATAAGACAAACATCATGCTAGAGTCTTTCATAAAATATATCTCATTTAATCCACACAAGTGTTTTTATCTTCTTTGAGCCAAGCATTTTATTCTCTATTTCTTTAAGAAAAAAATAAGGCTCGGAATACTTCAGTAACAGAACTGAGTCTTAGTATCAAATCCTGCCTTTTTTTTGATATCATTAATGTACAATTACTTGAACAACATTATGGTTACTAGACTCCCCCTATTATCAAGTCCTCCCACATACCCCATTACAGTCACTGTCCATCAGTGTAGTAAGGTGCTATAGAATCATTACTTGTCTTCTCTGTATATACTGCCTTCCCGGTATTCCCCTATCTGCTACATTATGTGTGCTAATTGCAATGCCCCACTTTCCCCCTTATTTCTCCCTTCCTACCCATCCTCCCCAGTCCCTTTCCCTTTGGTAACTGTTCGTCCATTCTTGGGCTCTGTGAGTCTGCTATTGTTTCGTTCTTCCAGTTTTTGCTTTGTTCTTATGCTCCACAAATGAGAGAAACCGTTTGATACTTATATTTCTCCACCTGGCTTATTTCACTGAGCATAATACCCTCTAGCTCCATCCATACTGTTGCAAATGGTAGGATTTGTTTTCTTCTGATGGCTGAATAATATTCCATTGTGTATATGTACCATATCTTCTTTATCCATTCATCTACTGACTGACTCTTAGGTTACTTCCATTTCTTGGCTACTGGAAATAGTGCTGCAATAAATATAGGAGTGCATATGTCATTTTCAAACTGGGTTGCTGTATTCTTAGGGTAAATTCCTAGGAGTGGAATTCCTGGGTCAAATGGTATTTTTATTTTGAGTTTTCTGAGGAATGTCCATACTGCTTTCCACAATGGTTGAACTAGTTTACATTCCCACCATCAGCGTGGGAGGGTTTCCCTTTTTCCACATCCTTGCCAGCATGTGTTTTTCCTAGTCTGTTCTATGTTGGCCATCCTAATGGCTGTGAGGTGATATCTCATTGTGTTTTTAATTTGCATTTCTCTGATGATTAGCAATGAGGAGCATCTGAATTTCTTCTTTGGAGAAGTGTCTGTTCAGCTCCTCTGCACATTATTTTTTCAGAATGAACCCATTTATTATTTATTTTTATTTTTATTTTTATTGTTTTTTGCATGTGTAATTTTTTTTGGAGATAATTATTTTTTATTGAAGGGTAGTTGACACACAGTATTACAGTAGTTTCAGGTGTACAACACAGTGATTCAACATTTATATACATGATAATTCTAGGTACCAGCTATCACCATACCAAGTTGTTACAATATTTTGACTATATTCCTTATGCTATAAATTACATCCTATTTACTTTTTTATTTTACAATTGGAAGTGTGTACTTTTTTTGTGAGGTCATCTCTCCTATTTATTGATCAAATGGTTGTTAACAACAATAAAATTCTATATATGGGACTCAATGCTCAATGCACAATCATTAATCCACCCCAAGCCTAATTCTCATCAGTCTCCAATCTTCTGAAGCATAACGAACAAGTTCTTACATGGAGAACATAGTCTTAAATAGTGAATAAGTTACATGGTGAACAGTACAAGGGCAGTCATCACAGAAACTTTCGGTTTTCATTATGCATTATGAACTATAAATAATCAGTCCAAATATGAATATTTGATTGATTTTTATACTTGATTTATATGTGGATCCCACATTTCTTTCTTTATTATTATTATTTTTAATAAAATGCTGCAGTGGTAGGTAGATGCAAGATAAATGTAGAAAGCATAGTTTAGTGTTGTAAGAGAGCAAATGTAGATGATCAGGTGCGTGCCTGTAGACTATGTGTTAATCCAAGATAGACAAGGGCAATAAAACATCCACGGATGCAGCAGATTTCTCTCAGAACAGGGGGGGAGAGGTTCTAAGCCTCACCTCTGTTGATCCCCAATTTCTCACCTGATGGCCCCCCTGCGACTGTGCCTGTTTTAGGTTGTTCCTCCCTTGAGGAATCCTACCCATCTCTGGCTAACCAGTCATCTTCTGGGCCATACAGGGAAATGTAAAGTTGGTAAGTGAGAGAGAAGCCATATTGTTTGAAAAGGTTAGCTTTTTACTTCTTTGCATATTTATGCCCTGTGGCTTCTATGCCCAGCATTTGTCTTGATGTATCTTTACCACCTGGAAGAATTATGATACATGGTAAATTCAATATGAGGCACAAATTCTATTTAAGGGTTGTAATTAGGAAGGAAGAAGAAAAGCTATAGAAGTAGCAGGTGGAAGAAAACATGGGAAGATTGATTATTTCTTTGACATATCTTCTTGAAGAGTAACTTCAGCATGTAGAAGTTTTAAACTACTAATTAAAATGAGCACACACATTAACATAATAGGAGTACAGTTACATAACCAAAGCAGACCTGTAATTACCAGCCATCTCCAGTGAAACCAATAAAACCAGTTAGGCACCCTAGGCATTTGTGAAAACTTATCTATGATATGATGGACATTGTCCAACTGAACTTGAACAGTCTGAGAGAAATCAGACAAATTAAAACAACCCATTCCTGGGGACTGTTCACATCCCATATGTTCTTTTAACAGTAAATAGTCTGTAGTTGTAAGATCATGGAGCACTACAATTTGCACTTCTCCTAATTCTTGGTTGAGTTCCAACAGCATAGATCCAGTCAAATTTGTTGTTTTACTTATGCACAGGCCAGCTTAGATATCTCCTTCTTCATTCCCATGGCAAGTCCACGAACCGGTGGAATGAGTGCATCTACACCTGTAGCAGTGTGTGGATCTTTGCTGGGGTATTTTGATGATCATATTCTGGCATGAGTCTTCCAGAGAGTGCTGATGCTGGAAGTTCTTTTTCATATCATATCTTAGTTCATTTTCAGGGTAGCCAACTAAGGCTTTGATCCTCTCTATAACCAGGTCCCCCCTATAAACCCCTTTACAGTCACTATCCATCAGGATAGCAAAATGTTGTAGAATCACTACTTGTCTTCTCTGTGTTGTACAGACCTCCCCTTTTTCCCACCCCCCCATGCATGCTAATCTTAATACCTCCCTTCTTCTATCCCCCACCCCCGTATCCCTTCCTACCCACCCATCCTCCCCCGTCCCTTTC